ACAGTGCTCACGACCAAAAACACTAACAACGAAAGAAAATACTTTTGTTATAGATTTTGAAACATTGACTTATTACAGGGCCGTAATCTTTCAGTATGTTCTATAAGACTATGATATGTATCAAAATAAAAAGTTTGAATAAAAACTTTTGTTTCTACAGTTAATTACAAAGAAACGGCTTGACCGATCTTTGTACAAAATTATTCACCCGATTTGAAATCAAGTCAGAATTGATGCACAATTTTTTTTCACATTTTTTTACATTTAGTAGCGCCTCTATGGAATGGAAAAACAACTAAAATTGAAGTAACGGCAAAGTTGCTATGTTTGCAATATATATACAGTTCTAAAACATATAGTACTAATTTTTGTTTTACCTACAAAATAAATTATATTTCACTTGTCTCTCGTCCTTACCTACCGTTAAGTAGCGGTCCCCAAATTTCGCTGACAGAATCCACGAAAGTCAAAGCCGTTTTGAAGACTCCGATCGTTTCAGTTTTCGAATATGGAAAAACATTCCATTGCCATTGGAGACGATTTAATAATACTGCATGGGGCAATCTGACCCCTAAAAAAATGAAAATGAATGATATTTACTATTTTACATATATTATTACTATTTAACATTTGAGCTATAATCTGCTAGAAATATCAATTCACTTGAAATTTGAATTTAGCTGAAATTATGAGCCTAGATAATATTAGAATATAATATACAAGAAAAATGTGATATCTATATTATTATTGCGGAAAAGCAGCTTAGATATGCCAGAAATTAGAATAATATAAGATACAGTCCGCAGTATATGTTGGCAGATGAAATTATATAATTCAGTTTAATAAATAACGCAATAAATTCAAATTTGCATAAACATTATTTTTTTAAACTTATGTATGTCGCATTTTGGTTTACTTCACGAAATTTTACTATTTATTTATTTACTATTTTACATATATTATTACTATTATTTAATTATCAATTATTATTACCTTTGGGTATCCCTGTACTTCCTGATGTGTACAAGACAATTGCTAAACTTGTTTCTGGACATTGATTCGTTTTGGGTTTTAATATTTGTTTGTTGTTTGTTCCTAAATTTAATACTTCATCAAATGACAAACTTCTTACAACCGTGCAAATGGGTGCCATGTTCTGAAAATAATAGTAATTGGCAAATAATGGTGAAAATACAAACTACCTTAAAAATCAAAAAGGTTAGATGTAACTAGAAAAAAATATGTAATTTTATATATAAAATTCTCGTGTCGCAAAGATTGAAAACGGGTTACCAATTTTTATCAAATTATATATACATATTCAGTAGATCTGAGAATCGGTAAATATAAGATGGCCCACTTAAAAATTAGAATTTATCGATAGCAGCTCGCCTGTAGGCCACACCGTGCGGAATTCGAAGTTGCGATATATGGGGAAAAAACTAAGAATTTTGAGACCTTTCTAACGATGTATAATACTTTATATGTTTCTTTACAGAAATATCGAATCGTGAGGAGTGTTGCTCTAATCAAACCGCACTTTGCATTTCAACAAGTTAACATCCACACAGATTGCTCTATACTATCTAAACCATTAAAGATCAAAAAAAACTTTGTTCGTGCGAAAGATGCAAAATAAAATTACGAATAAAATGGTATATAAATGGTTAAGTGTGTTCATATAATTTTCTCGAGATTTTCCGATTTTCTTGAAATTTTTCGATAGCAACTTGCCTGTAGGCCACACCGTGCGGAATTCGAAGTTGCGATATATGGGAAAAAACTAAGAATTTTTAGACCTTTCTAACAATGTATAATACTTTATATGTTTTCTTTACAGAAACATCGAATCTTAAGGAGTGTTGCTCTAACCTAACCGCACTTTGCATTTCAACAAGTTAACATCCATTCAGATTGCTCTATACTATCTAAACCGTAAAAGATACGAAAAAACTTTATTCGTACGAAAGCAGCAGAATAAAATTACGAATGAAATGGTATATAAATGGCTAATTGTGTTCATATAATTTTCTCTAGGTTTTCCGATTTTCCTGAAATTTTACGATAGCAACTAGCCTGTAGGCCACACCGTTCGGAATTCGATGTTGCGATATATGGAAAAAAAACTAAAAATTTTGAGACCTTTCTAATGATGTATAATACTTTATATGTTTTCTTTACAGAAATATCTGGAACGTAAGTTTACTAGATCACTAGGACCACTAGATGCAGTTTAAAAGTTATCTACTTTTCATACCCCTAGAAGTGATAAGAGTTGTTCTCCCATTTTGTTTTAACTTTTTGGACAATTTTTTTCAATTTATCTGCTATAATGTGACATTGAAGAATACATACAACCCTACATTTTTGCCTTTTATCACCAATCTCTGTTTTTATAGCCATTTTAGCAATACAATCCTTTTTTTATCCCATTCAGTCATTATATTTTTAATATAATTTCAGTTCAGCTAGTGGATTTACAAAATATGAAATATAATATTTACCTTTATCATTGTGTATGATCAAAGCCGGTTTTGCCTCGTTCAAAATATGTTGTACCCTAGTTTCAGGAAATTCTGGGTCTAATGGTAAATAGGCAGCTCCTGATTTCCAAGCGGCCAATAATACTTCCACTAATCTAAAAAATAAAAATAATTTACACAATCCTGCAAAAAAATATGAAAATTTATATTAGTATATTGAGTTTTCCATTTCACCTATCACTGGGTGTCATAGACACAGCAATTAAATAATCACCATCCTTATTTGGAGAAATGTTTTCTTCGTCTATGGTTTTTAAAATTCCTTGGGATAATCTATCAGATATTGTATTCAATTCCGCATAGTTAGTTATGTGCGTCGTTTTGGAATCTGAAAAAAAAAATTTTCAGTAAATAATAATATATAAATAATAATAGCTGGGCAAAAGGGTCTAACCAAACCAATTATCACAACCAACAATACGTATCAAACAAACATTCTGACTATATTCAGTAAAACTCCCAGCAAATTCACCATTGTAGAGTCTGTTGAAAAATTTAGTATTTTATATTATATATGTTTGTGAAAACATATTTGTGATTTAGTTGAAAATATTTTTTATGAGCGTATATTCTGTTCTCGTTTCATTTATTCAAATTAATCAAGTTTATCTTTTCTGTATCATATATTTATATAAATCGTATCTAGAATTAAACCCAGGGGTAAATTTACGTGCTACAGTTTGGTGGTGCACTCTATAAAGCGGGGAAACAAATAAAATTGAAGTAACGGCAATGTGGCAGTTTTTGCGATCTATTTATACTTCTTTTAGCAAGCAAACATTACTAAGTATTAGAAATTATTGCCATTATTGCAACAAATATTGTTTATTACTATCATGTCGTACATGCTTATTATTTCAGTAAACAAGCAATTACTTCGTCCGTCTTGTTTCGAGAGTAAAAGTATACATTATTCCACTTGTCACTTTTTACTGAACGATGCAATAAACTACAAACTACAGAACACTTTCGACATTCGTTGCAGAAATGAAATCTCGTGTTTTGAAATTAAACTTAAGGCAATAATTACGAATTTAGATATAGAGTCAGTGGACAGTCGACATATACGTTGATCTAGAGAAAGAAATTCAAATTTTTTGGTGTAGTAAATTTTCACTACCGAAGGTTTTTGCCAAAAAATCCGAACCGCTAATTTTATGTTTTCTCGACGTTTCAAGCCATTCTGAATCGAATGAGACCAACATTTGGAAAAAGTATGTGTAAGTGTGTAAACAGATTTTTGACCATTCGTCGACGTTTAGTCAAAAACGGCTGAAACGATTTCAAAAATTTAAAAGCCATTCGATGTATTTCGATGAGGACTATCGTTTCTCAATTTTGTGCGACGATCTGCCCAACCGTTTCTTCGTAATATGGAAAAAATGTTAAACTTTTCGTCCACATTTAAGCTCATACTACCGAATCGATTTAAAAAGCAAAAACTGTTCGAAAGATATTAGTTTGGGATTGATACTGATTAGTTTTAGGGAAAAATCTGCCGAGCCGTTTTCTTGTATTTAACTGTTGAAAAAAAATTCAAGTTGATTTTCATGGAAATTTTTTGGCGATATATGTCATGGTCTTATAGAACTTACTGAAATATTACGGCCTTACGACAAGTTGTTTAATTTTAAAAATTCATCAAAGTTTGAGAAAATGAGTAGTTTTTTTGACATTTATTAATATTAAAATTAGACGATTTACTTGGTATAACGATTGAGTACTTGGTCTTATTGAACATACTAAACCACTAAAGTCCTACGAAAACTGGTTCAATTATAAAAATTATTGATTTGTGAAAATTTGCTTTCAGAAAATACTGCGAGTTAACGTGTTCGTTCCATTTCAATTATGTGTAATAAATCCACTCGGAATACTTTTAATCACTCATAAATGAATTTATTTTTTATAGATTAAGTCGATTATATACGCATATTGAGAAGTTCATGTAACTTGCCTCAAGGCAAAATACCAATACCGACTAGTTATAAAATATTATAACAAGCTCTTCTGTTAAACGTTCTAACAAAAATCATATACCTTTCATGTATAATTATTGTCCGAGGTAAAGTCCGTTAAAATATTGCATTATATATATATATATATATATATATATATATATATGTATACAAGTAATGTTTTTTGTGCTCATGCAATGTGGCAAATAAATAAAATATCTATGTTTGAAATCCGGCAGACATTTTACACATTTACATACATTATTGATAGAGTTGGTTTACATGAAACATTAGTAAAGAACATTTCTCCACATTAATCCAAACCAATCACATCACAACAAATAACACATATCAAACAAACAACTATCTGACTATGTTCAGTGAAAAGTGTTAAAATTAATATTAAAATTGGACTATCTGAAGAAGACAAACTTGTCTTTATAAATAAGGTAGAACGGCGATTAAAGGTCCGTGTGTAAAAAGGTCCACCACCGATATCAAGACAAAGTAGTCTTAATAATTTTTAACAACAATATTTGAAAGTAGAGGGCAAAAGATGTATAATCTGTCATCACTTTGATTCTTTCAACAAAACTGATAAAAGATTATCCTCAACGAGATATATCGAATGGCGTCTAAATGAGAAAAGGCCGATTTTAGGTGAAAAATCTCAAACTATTGATGTTCCAATTACTAATTTCCTAGCAAATTCAGTTTTTTATATGTTTTTAAAAATTGTAACAAAATTACTTACCTTCAAATATCAAAGCTGGTTTGTCGCCGAATTTCGTCGCAACTTTTTCAAATAACTTATTTAGTAATTCTGGCTGTAAATTTCGATGCTCTCCTTTCAAAATCGATAAATTTGGCAAGGAGCCCATTTTGTCACCTGGAAAATAAAAGAATCCGAGTATAAAGATTTGAATTAAAGTAATTATATAAATTTCTTGTATATAGCATATTCAACTTCCCGTAGAGCAAGTTATAATAATCGCAAAAAAATCGAAAATGAAAATTTGTATATATCTTGACGTTTCAGAGGTTTCTGAACATTTTGGCATACCTTAGAAAAAAATGATGTATGTGTGTGTATTGGATACAATTTTTCGTCGACGATTTCGCAAACACGGATCAACCGATTTAAATGATTCAAACAACATTCGATTTCTACTGATAAAAAGACGTGCTGATTAGTTTTTGGCAAAGGCGAGTCCAGTCGTTTCGGAAATACCGATCAAAATGTGCAAAAAATGGCAGTTTTCAAGAGAACTAAGCGGATTTTGAATGAATTTTCAAGAGAACTAAGCGGATTTTGAATGATTTTTCAAGAGAACTAACCGATTTTAATGATTCAGAAAATTTTCCTGCTTGTTTTGACAAAACGATTGCATTTGGATTTTTTTTTTGTAATTTCCAAAAAAATTTTTTTGAATATCGAAAATAATTCGGATTTTAATTTCAATTCTGTTTATGTTTTATATATTTCTTATAAATATTAAACAATATCTTTCATTCCAAATTTGAATGATTGAGTTTTGTTTATTTACTTTTCTGTGAACATATATAAGTTATAGTATTTATAATAATCCATTTGAAAACATTAAATATTTCTCGAATATTTCATTTTCGAATATTTAATTTAATTTTCCTCGCATTACGGGACGGGAAGTTCCAGCAATTTGCCTTAAGGCACCATGCTATGCACCACTAGTTTTTTTGTGTAAATGGCATTTCTGCTTTTGATATTTTTGATTGTTTTTCAAAAGTAGTAAAAAGTATGAAGATTTTTATAGACTATAATTTTTTTTAAAGTAAATTGGTTTAGTAGAAGTTGAGAAATCGTAGGAAGGTAGAAAACGCTGAAGAATTATCAAAATATCCTACATATTCTTGAATAGTTGAATTTTGAAAATATTTTTAAAAAATGGTTCCATTTTTTTCGTTCTAGACTAGAATACTCTTAAAGCGAATCTTCCTTTATCAAAATCTATGCACTGGCCAATTTTGGCTTATATACACGTACACTCATACACATATACACACACAATTTATTCTAAATTAGGTCTCATTCGATTCAGAATGACTTGACACGTCAAGAAAACTTAAAATTAGCAAATCAGATTTTCTGACCAAAACAAACTTCTCTTTATCAAAAATAACACAACAATTTTTAACTTATTTAGCACTTAAATACACTACGTACATTTTTTATTAATCTCCGTATACCTTCGACAAAACATGTCGAAAAACACCATTTTTAGCACTTCCCACATTTTATTAATTTTTTCACACAATTTTTAACTTTTGGAGATCCGTTCTAAATTACAGTACATTCTCAAATATCCAAATTATTTTTTGCCCCCCTTAGAACAGAACATATTGGAATCCCCTCCTGTAATTATGAAATATACTTTCGATATTGTGTTTGTTTTTAGATATGGATCATTAATTTTCGCGTTGTTGTAAATTTGAAGAGTGTACGTCATTTTTTTAAAATAATTCTTAGAAGAATTTAAAAATTCATTCTTGATTAATTAGCAAATTAATTCCGTTTCAATACTAAAACTGGCGCCTGAATAAATCAGTTGTGAAAAATTGATTTAAAAAATTATTTACTTTGCGTGGGGTAAATAATTGTAATCGTCCAAAAATAAACTAGTGGTGTATGGCATCGTGCCTTAAGGCAAATTGCTGGTACTTCCCGTACCAGAATTAAATATTCGAGGGAAAAAATCAGTAATCATTAAGTATTGATTAATGATTAATAACAATTGTTTTAAACATTTTCAAATAGATAAATTTAATCACTATATATTTCATCGTTCATAAAATATACAGTGACGATCTTATCGCTCAAAACACTTGAGAATGCTTACATTAGCAAGAGATGCCGAATGAATCCGTCTGAGGATATATTTCTTACGATTAGAATAACGCATTTGAAATATATACATTTTCAACCTAAATTGTAAATTTATAATTCACATTTAAAGTATAAAACTTTGTATATTATTGAAAATTTTGAAGTTTTTTTCTGGAAAATTTTGAAATTAGCTTGAACCGTATAAGCAAACTTTAAAAATTAACAATCTTGGTATGAAATAAAACGTTTAAGAGATTAATAACTACACGTTTCAGAGGTTTCTGAACATTTTGACGTATCTTAGAAAATATTGATGTATGTGTGTGTGTATGTGTGAGTATGTATGAACACAATTTTACGTTTATTTTTGAGAGCACGGATCAACCGATTTGAATGATTCAAAAAACATTCGATTTCTATTGATAGGGAGATGTGCTGATTAGTTTTTGGCAACGGCAGGTCCTTCCGTTTCGTAGATACAGAGCAAAGCGTGCAAAAAATTAAAAGAGTTTTTGAGAGAACGGAGTATCCGATTTTAATGATCTAAAAAACATTCAAATTGTAATGATTGGGAAAAGAGGTGATTAGTTTTTGGCAAAGGTAGGTCCAGCCATTGTGGAGATACCGAGCTAAATGTACAAAAAATAGCAGTTTTCGAGAAATCTAAGCTTCCGATTGGAATGATTCAAAAAACATTCAATTCGTAATTACAAAACAATCTCTTTTGGGGTAATTTTTTTTTGTTTCATGCTTTTTAATTTTAAAAAAAAATTTTTTTTTGACTAAACTTTATTCTTTGAATATTTCATTATGGTACGGAAAGTTCCAGCAATTTGTCTTAAGGCACGATGCCATACACCACTAGTTTGTATTTTTTGTCAGTTTTCTAATGACAATAAATCCATTGGATTTTATCTTGGAATTCTTTCCATATCATAAATTTACAACAGATATTTTTTATTCTAGAATTTTAGCTGGTAATTTTTTATACCGAATATTTCTTTTTTCTGGAACAGCTACTAACTTTTTCAGAATTTTTGCAAAACCACTCTTGTCTTAACAAAATATACACAAATTTATTTACATTTTTTATATCAAACTTTTATCTCTTTTTCTTACCCAGCTCGCTTATTAAATTTGTGTTAAATTTTTATGGACAATTGCATAATTGAAACTGAAGAACTAACAAGATTTTGTAAAGGTTTATAAAAAAATTGTCATATCGTGTTTAGAATTTATTTGAAATTTAGAAAGGATGTATAAAAAAATAATTTTGATTTGCATAAAGTGCATCAAAGGTTTGAGTCTTTGGGAATGTAGTTGAAATTTGAACCATAAAGCGCATCGAAAGATGCAATAAAGATTTTTGCATTGAAATTAAAATTTTGTTAGACGCTGAATAAAATAATATTTTAAAAGTATTATATAAAGTCAAAGAAAGTTTAGTTTCGGTTTGGTTCAGATAAATCCCAATTTTCTAGCAGGTGTGGATCATATTTCTATTTTTTATAAGCATTAATATATGTAATTTTTTAAAAATATTGTAATAATGATATTATTATTGTAATAATGATTTAATAAATATTAAAATAATGTATTATCAAATGATTATTCCAACGGCTTTTTTTGTTTTATTTTGAATATCACCAAGGTGGATGGGGTTCAAAAATCCTTAAAAAAATCGATCATGTGATTAATATTTGGTAAAAAAATGCTGCAAGATTTATTAAAAAAACGAAATTTTACTTGCTAATAGGAACTTCCCAAATAAAAGTGTTTGAATCTTTTGGTAAGAAAATGAAAATTGAAGTGTTCTTTACCCATGCTGAAAGCTGATATCAAAAAATTTAAACAAAATTGACTTTTACCCACGTCCTAAAATGCAGTTGCGATAACGCCACACAAAATTAATTCCATAAATAATGAAATTCACAATTTCGTAACTTCGAAACCTCGTTTCACACTCCGAAGGTCTTTCTGTCGTGATTTCGATCAATTATTAATCTCAGTCTCAAAATCTCAATTATTTTTTGTCCGTACATAATAATTAACACCATCCGATGTGATTTTTGCACGGATAGTCATTAGAAAACCGTTTTACGACTTTCAAATTGCGAATAAAAAAATCGATGGTCGAGATAAAATGGTTAACAAAATCATATTTTGTTTTATAGCATCGTAAAAATGAGAAATAATTACGTTTGAAAAATTAGTATGATTTAGTATGAAGTTAATAAATAATCATATTACCAAGTAAAATGTCGTTTTCTCAATAAATCTTGCGGCATTTTCTATATCAAATATATTTAAGATTAGAAACGCATAATCTTGTAAGTTTTTCTATCAAACAAGCTCATTAAGATATCAGAACACGTTCGTTTTAATTGCAAACTAACTGGTATTAGATATAATATATACTAATCGCCAGTTTAGTGATTTAAAGCCGTTGGAATAATCACTTTATAATAAATAAATAATTTAAATAAGTAACAAGTTATATATATATTCTTGCTTAGAGAAATAGAAAAATCAGGCACACCTACTAGAAAATTAGGATTTATATGGATCAAGCTGATATTAAACTTTCTTTGATTTGATATAACAATTTTATTACACTTTTATGAAATTATTTAACTTAGTGCCTAACAAAATTTCAATTCCAATGCAAAAATCTTCATTGCATCTTTCGATGCACCTTATGGTTCAAATTCCAAATACATTTCCAAAGACTCAAACCTTTGATGCACTTTATGCAAATCAAATTTTTTTTTATATATCCTTTCTAAATTTCAAATAAATTTTAAACATTATTTTACGGTTTTTCTTAACCTTTACAAAATCTTGTTAGTTTACAAGTTTCAATTTTGCAATTGTCCATAGAAATTCAACACAAAATTTAATGAGGGAGCTGGGTAAGAGTAAGAGATATAAGTTTGATACAAAAAATGTAAATAAATTAGTATCTATTACTTTAAGACAAGAGTCGTTTTGCAAAAATTATAGGAAAAATTAGTTGATGTTCCTAA